CGGTGCAGGCTTAATGTTTTTTAATGCTCTTACCTGCTTTGGTAAGGGAAGTTGCTAGGTGTGGAAGAAGAGATGTTTCAGGGTGGTACTACAGTGGGAGTGAAAGACAGTTGTTTCTGTATAACTTTTTAGGTGAAACCGTTCTTGTGGTGTTAACTAGATTGTGGCATATGGGCACGTCAGATAACTTGGGGTAGGCTTCGATTTTCTAGTTAAAACTAGTGATCGTATTTTTTTTACTTGTGGGCACTAATTTTTTCCACAGTAGCGGTTATTTTCTGTTACCCTTTTTTTCACAGCAGATTAGAAAATGGAGCTGTAACTGGAAAAAGAAATTATTAACCTGTTTAAAATTCTTTTTACACTCAGACTAGTAAAATAAGCTAGGCAGGTGATCGCTATGTAGAGACAACCTATGTGGTGAGCAGCATTTGGGGGAAAACCAAAGGTCTAGCCTGTGCACTTTTGTTCTTGCACGCATAATGGATCTGCTGTGTCCCTGGGGTGTATAAACTCTCTACAGGCTAGATTGAGTTCAATCTTAAATGACCATGAATAGAAATGTGCTCTGACTCAGTCTTCAGTAGCCCAGTGACTGAAAATATTTCTTTCTTATGTCAACAGGAAGGAGGAAAAAGAAATAGAAGCGGACAAAATACTTCATCAAGAGAAAAGTGAACCCAGCCTCATCTGTCCCCCACTACGCAGCAGAAACTATCTTCCTCCAGAGGATATACAGAGCTGCCTTGAGTCTCATGTCAGGGAGATTTTTGGACCCTCGCTTCCTGACAATTGGCAGCAGACACCCCTCAAAGAAAACAGGTTAAAGTATCGCCTCCTGGCTCAGCTGGCAGCAGAACTTGGTCATGCTGTCCCCAATTCACAGCTTCACCTGATGTGCAGTGCTGAGGATGTCTTGAATTTCTATAGCACTCCTGTGAAGGATGTGTCCAAGTTTGATGAACTGTGCGCTGCAGAGCTACCCCCAAACCTGAAGATTACCTGGGAGCAGTGAGTCGTACCACAAAGCATTGCTTTGCTTTGCTTGTGCTGCTAAAGCAGGACTGCAGCGCAGTAGCAGGGCCCTTTCACTGTGGTAGCAACCGAATATATAAATATTGCAAATAAAAGTTCATTTATTTGTCCTCAGGTTTCATTGTTTCTGTTTTATTTTACATGGAGCAAAGAGCAGAAGTTCTCCCTGTGAAACAGTGACACAGTGTGGTCGGTAATGGTACTAATGTATGCTTCCTGGCTTTTACTGTGATGCCCAAAAGTTACAGGGTCCAGTGCAGATCAAAAGGGGGGACCACCTTCCCTGTTTCTTCCCTGCACCTTGTAAACGTCTTGTCTTTGGTTCTGAACTGTGTAATGGGCTTTTGCAAGTGCAGTTTGGCTCTGTCAGGAGCCCTGTTCAGCCAGCTGGGCCAGCTAACTCTTGGGGAAGGAGGGGGGAAGTAAGCCAGCATCTTTTTTTTTTTCTTCTTTTCTCTGAGATTGAAAAGAAGACCCTGTCAGCAGTAAGGTTTTTAAAAGCCATCACAGGTGCCATCCTAAAATAAAGTTCTACTCAAAATTGCTACATGAAGGTAGTGCCAAATGAAACTCTGAAACCTCTTAACTTGGTAATGGTGAACTCTCCAGCAGCCCTATAAAAACAGCTGCCATCAAGGCAGCTTGTAGAATTCTTCCAGGTCTGTTGAAGGACCCCATTTTTATAAGTTCTGTTGCTCCTTCTAATAGCTATTAGTTTTTTCTAATATATGTTAGCTCTATCTTAGTTTTTCTACAGCTGTGGAAAAACATGTAATAGCTATATGTTTTTCTTCCTGTGTAACTGATGATACAGGTTTGCTTTTAATCAGAGGAGGCAAACTGAGGTCAGGAAGACAAGAAAATAAATAAATGCAAAATAAATGCAACAGTCTGAGAAATGCATGGTACTTTGTGAATGTTTTCTATAAAACAGGTTTACAGTGAGGTTTGATTCTGATGTGTGATTGTCATGGTTTAACCCCAGCCAGCAGCTAAGCCCACACAACCACTCACTCCCCGCTCGCTGGGCTGGGGGAGAGAGTCAGAAGGGTAAAAGTGAGAAAACTTGTAGGTTGAGATAAAGACAGTTTAACAGGTAAAGCAAAAGCTGTGCACGCAAGCAAAGCAAAACAAGTAATTCATTCACTTCTTCCCATAGGCAGGCAGGCTTTCACCCATCTCCAGGAAAGCAGGGCTCCATCACGCATAAAAGTTACTTGGGAAGACAAATGCCATCACTCTGAACATGCTCCCCCTTGCTTCTTCTTCCCCCAGCTTTATATGCTGAGCATCATGTCATATGGTACGGAATATCCCTTTGGTCAGTTGGGGTCAGCTGTCCCGGCTATGTCCCCTCCCAGCTTCTTCTGCCCCCCCAGCCTGCTCACTGGTGGGGTGGGGTGAGGAGCGGGAAAGGCCTTGACTGTGTAAGCAGTACTCAGCAGTAGCGAAAACATCCCTGTGTTACCAACAGTTTTCAGCACAAATCCAAGACATAGCCCCATGCTAGCTACTATGAAGAAAATGAACTTTATCCCAGGCAAAACCAGCAGAGTAGTATTTCTGGGAATGATCCAGAAATACCCCAGTTATACCACTTGCTCTCCTGAAATATAGCTCCCCTCATTTCTTTTAGCATACAAATACCTGAAGCATGCTTAGGAACTGCTGCTTTTGTGTGTTACAGTGCTCAGTTTCTTTATTAGGCAAACTTCTCAAGTACTGCTTTCTTCTCATAGCTCTGAAGAAATTTAAGAAACATGTTATTTTCTCCTTTTAAGTCCTGGGGAATTACAGAATAGCCTAAGTACTACTGCATGTTCCATTGCAGGATGAACATGAGGGAACTGGGGATGTTTCACCTGGTCACTGTGGAAGGCTGGCTGTTTGCAAATCCCTTTCCTGTAGCTTATGGAAAAACACAGTGTGAGAAATAGTTAAATCTGTGTCATTTTGTCTGCTTCAGAGGCTGTTTGGGAGCAATTAATTGGAAGTATTTTTTTCATGAAATTATGTCTGCTTTCAATCAAAGGAGAGACACATATGCCTCCTTGTTTCCTCTTACTCAGTACTCACTATCTAAAAAAACACTTTCAGTGGTCCTTGCACTTTCTGCTCATCCCCCGCCTTCTGTCTCTCCCAGTACGTAACTTCCATAGCTCATGTAATGAGATCAGAAGAGAGAGTGAAAAATGGAAGACTGCAATCTAGGAGGATTGGCAAGAAAGGAGCATGACAACAGCCTTGTCTTGTGTTTTGCTGTGTCTGAGTTGAGTCAAATTGCCACTTCCCTAATCTCAGATACTTAAGTCCCTCTGAGGTGCAAATCTCATGCTACCACCAGCACACCTGTGCAAGAAGCTGCAGGGGCTAAAGTACAAGGGAAGAAGATCAGACATGGGTGTTTGAGAGGCAAAACTTTTAACTGGTTGTAACAAGCTGACAAAGCAGAAGTCTGAAGTGAGATTGAAGTCTTGCATAGAACACCTGTGCCATGGAAGGGTTAAGACTTCTGAGTGCTTAAACACTTTTTTATCCTTGGGCTTTCAAAAGTACCTAATTTCTATTGAATGCCATTATAATTGAATCCAAGTATAAGTAAGTAAATAAATAAAAGCCCCGCCCATGCATTTGCAGGAGGGCTGATCTTAATTTTAGGCAGAACCAGTAGAAAAGATCAAAAGAAAGTGTAAATTGTATTCCAGAGTCTTTGCACAGCCAAGAGGCACAATCCGCACACCGACAGAAGCAAGAACAACAGCTCTGCAGGGGTACCTGCTTCCCTGTCAGACACGAGTTAGCTGCAGGGCAGAGAGAAGCCACAGCCATCCGGCTCCGTGACCCCCCTCGCAGGGGGATCAGACGCTTCTTCCAGTCATGTCACCTAGGCCAGATTCATAGCTGAAGTGCATGAAACTGCACACAGCCCAAGGGCCATGTCTTAAAAGATGATCCAACTCCATGATGAAAAGCTAGCCACTGCAACGTATTTATTTTACACAGTTGGTCGAGAGGCTGGACTACAGAAGCCACCATTAGCTGCCTAAGCTTGCTGTACACAGCACATAAGAGAAGGATGTGCCTCAGAACAGGAACTAAAAAAAAAAAAAATCCAAAGGCTACCTAAAGGCTGACTTTTCACTGGGTCACAGATTCCAGGAGGTGGACACACATTGCTTCTGAATGGAAAGGTACCTGGGAAGAGCAAATGTGCTGTTAGGTTTAGACTTCCTGTGCAAAGCGGTTTCTGTCAACTGGAAAAGGCTGAGCGTTCTATAAATCTAACATGGTAGCAAATACATAGAGCTAGCCAAGGGGAAATGCAGTGAACGTGTGTGATAGGTCTGGTTTCATCTATCCAGTCATCTAGAACTTAGGCACTTGCAAAGAAGCATGCACTCCCCTGTGGATCTGCATCTACTTGCAGACCTCTCCTGGGTGTAGGCATCCCTGTGTACCATGTCCAAGAAGAGAGCAGGGCTCACTGGCTTATTTCAAAGTGGATATAGCTGCATTATAACTGGAAGGATAAAGCAGACCTTCAGGAAGTGGAAAATGGAGATTCAAATCCTTCTTCAACCTGGAGGATGGGGAAGAAACTCAAAACCACATCTTCCACCTTCAGAAAGACTGCCTCTGCTATCATGCTAGAGGATAAGCAGAGGGGCACAACACCACTACCTATTCTGTGGAAGCTACTGACCAAGAACACAAGATTCGTGCTGTGGTAACAGCATACTTGGGAAGAACACAACCCCGGGGTCCACAGCTGCAAAAACTAGGCTACTGAACATAAAGTTTTTCTCTTAGAATTCAACCCCCTGCTAACCCTTTGCAGTATGAGTGGACTTAGATAGTGCTGACAGGACGTCTTGAATGGAGTATTCATTGCTGATAAGCTTTCCTAACATGTGATTATTCTTCTAACACAGCAGAACAAGGACTGGTTCCACAGCCAAGTTTTTTCAGCTGAAATTTTCCCTGTGGAATTTGGATCAAAGTTGTAATGAGGGGCCCAGAACACTATCGATGGTTCCTCATGGTCACAGAAAGCCTGCATGGCCCAAGTCTGATCCTTAGATTCCTAAAACTGAAGCAGGTATCAGCAGAGTCAGAATAAAATACCAACCTGGAAGAAACACCGTGTGACCAGACACAAACAGACATCCCAAATTTTCTTTGTGTCACAGGCAAATGACAGAGACCAGGCTACACGTTTTGGTTTTTTGATAATTTTTTTTGCATCTGTTTTGGAAAAAATATACAAAAAAAGCCAAGAAAAACCAACATGGAAATGTGAGGTAAACATTCCAGTAAAAGTACAGACAGAGGCTCCATTCTTTAAAGGAGACACACAGAAGTTATCACCATGCTAGAAGAATGAGATGCAGGAAAATCCTAGAAACAGTGAAAAGTCATGTAATGAAGCCTTTGCCCCAGTCCTAGACACTGTAAGTGAACTCTTTTTTGTTCTTCTCCCCCACCCCCCACCCACACTTCATTGTCTTTTTTTTCCTTAAACAAAGTTGTTAAATTGTAAAATAGCAGTTTTGATATAAATTCTGTATGGCAGAATTTACAAAAATGCAGACTGCTACCACAGACTGTGTCAGTTTTTTGTTCGGGTTTTGGTTTTTTTTTTTTACTTGCCAAAGCCCCTCAGTGAAAACTACACGGTCAGGGCAACAGTGGCTTCTTGGTTATGCCAATCTGAATGCCAAGTAATGCCACTCCACTGGAGAAGTGGTGTCACTTTTCCTTTGCACCAGTGTCACTAGTTACCCCACAAATCTATGATGAAATTATGAAACACTTAAAGCACAGCCTCAGCTCCACAGTGGTGGCTGTATATCCCCATAGTCAATTCCTGAAGCCAGGTTTCACTGGGAGCTTTAGCTGGGCCTCAGGGAGGAATGGAGATCTAGGGAGATGATATAGTCAGCTCACATGCTATCAGCTACTACAATAAATTCCCATGTC